CGACCAGTCAATAGATGCTAGTTGGGTGTGGAAGAGTGGACTAGCCACCACCTTCCTACTGCTGCTGTTGCTGTTCACCACGCCGTCCGAAGCGAAAATGAGCTAATGCCATACAGCAGCGCTCTTTTATATCTTTTCAGGTTAAAGCCGAATGATGTTGTAGTAGTAAAATTATTTTTATTTCTGTTGATTATGGTAGTACATTGATTTATCATTTTAACTGATTAGCCTACTTGGCTCTTCATCTTTGTTTAATTTGATATTCTAATTTAATATTTGCGTTTTCAACTAGTTTACAGAATATCCCTTTGGGGATGTGTTTTATTTGAATTGAAAAAAGTGATAACCTACCTAACTACTAGTATAACTTAACCTAACGTGCTAAATCACGTATTGATCTCAGACAGGTGTCTCTGAACCTTTCCAGGATGAATACTCTCCGTTTTTCTAATGTTTGAATTCCAGCCAGGAAGTGGATCTCAGAATTTCTAGTCCGCGGGGGACTGTTTAGGACCATCCTAAGGATCTTGTTCTGGATCCTTTGGAGTTTAAGGTGATGGCATTTTGCGCAACTCTCCCAGATTGGCATACCGTACTCGATTACAGGAAGGATAATTTTTTTGTAGACAACAAGCTTATTTTTCAGAGACAGGGTTGACTTCCTGTTGATAAGTGGATACAACGATCTTATCAAGATGTTGCACTTGGTTTTTGTTTTGTCAACGTGCTCCCTGAAAAGAAGCTTGCTGTCTAGTGTTAGCCCGAGGTACACGACCTCTTTGGACCATTCCACCACAGTGCCGTTCAGGCAGATCTTGTTATTCTCCGACGGAACAAGTCTAGGAGATTTAGAGTGTGGAAATATAATGACGTGGGTCTTTGCCGCGTTGATACGGATCTTCCAGCTGTTGAAATATTCAGGCAGGACGTCCAGGCCTCTCTGAAGTTTGGCAGTCAGAGCTCCGATGACCCTACCCTTGTAGACGATGGATGTGTCATCTGCGAACAGAGACAACGATTAAAAATCAGATGGTTGTAGAATCTGGAACTCAAGTGTTTGAGTTCCAGATTCAGGATGTTGTCGAAACCTGGGGCGTTCATGTTTTTAAATGATTTGATATAGGCCAACAGTTCGTCAGCCGTAATTTCAGATCTGGAAAAATGTTAGGAATCTGAAGAAGATTGGTTGCATTTTCAGCAACCTCAGATTCATGAGGGCTGATGATGTTTTGTCCGAGATTATGGGAGCTGACGAAGTGTTGACCTATCGTGGCAGCCTTCTCTTCAGGAGTTATCAGATGAACCACTGGGTCGCCGGGACGATCCAGTGGGGTCAGTGGGGGAATGGGCCTAGGCTTGTTTTTAGGAATTTTTGTAAGTTTCCAGAAGGGCTTAGCACAATCTGGGAGAGAGCGGATCTTACTAGCAAAATCGTTATTTCTGAGATCCACCAACCTGGCCTGAATGATCTTTGTTAATCGATTACAATTGGTCTTCAAGTTAGGCAGGCCAGTACGCTGGTACTGCCTACGAATGGTGTTACGGAGTCTAATGAGATCTTTGGTAGGGCTGTCAAGGTGCAGAGTGTTACTCACCTGTCTGGATACTGGCACGTGTTATTCCCTGGCCCGGGAAATCACCTCCTCGATGGTTTGTAGACACCGGTCAACATCTTCCGACGTTCCCGGTTGGGCATCGTAGTTGATGGTTGTGTCGACGCAGTGTTGATATTGCGCCCAGTTGACTCACTGGTAGTTGCGCCGGGAAGCTTCGAATCGGTTAACCGAGGATCCAACTTCGGCCACCACCGGGTAGTGGTCCGAGCTCAGCTCCTGGAATGCCACAGGTTGCTAGACGTTGTGTCCCATGTTGCTTACGAAGATGTCGATGGTCGCATGGACCCCAGACCGACTCAACCGGGTGGGAGAGTCCGGGGCAAAGATGGTATAGTGGCCCTCTTGCAGGTCTTCATTGAGGATGATGCCGTTTCTATTGCTCCGACCGTTGCCCCAAGCTTGGTGTTTTGCGTTCAGATCGCCAGCGATAATGAAGTTCCCGCTCCTCCGGGTGAGTTTGATGATGTCTTTGCGGAGGGCCACTGACGACCCGTCCCTGATGTTGGTTTGCTTGGGGCAGATGGTGATTGGGCCAAGTGATGTGCTCACCTCCACTTCGATGGCTTCAATTGTTTTCAGCTGGAAGTTTGGTAGCAGCCGGAAACTGATGTTCCGTCTTGCAGCGATGGCCACTCCTCCACCTCCAGAGCAGGTGCGATCAAGTCTGGCGAGCCGGAAGTCGGGAAGGAATACGTTCAGTTCGGGCTTCAGATGCGTCTCGGTGATGATAGCAATAGCAGAATGATGTGCAACCAAGTGGTATAAAAGCTACAAAGACTCCTCCCATTATGAGCAGTCCGTGCTATCAAGTAGCGACACTGGCTCTTTTCCTTTTGCGTACACGGCGAATGAGAACGACCTAAATTTGAGTTTAGTTCACTCATAATCGCCAAAAGTGCAGGAACTCAGCGATGAGTAAATTTGTCTCATGGATTTCTTGTGGAAAACCTAAAAAATCTGCCAGAAAATGAAGAAATTGACGAAAATTTTATTCAGTCTCGGAGTAGTACCAATGGACTGAGTGATTCCAATCTTTACTTTTCTCAAATTTTGGAATTTTTCCCTGAAAAATCCTGGAAAAACCTGGGAAAACATGAGGCAAATTTACTCATCGCTGACTTTCTGCCCTTTATTTCTTATATCTGAGATAACTAAACTCAAATTTGGGTCGTTCTCATTCGCCTTGAAAGATATCGGCGCCGGTGGTTAGCGTGATTACCTCTCACCCCAGTAGGCCTGGGTTCAATCTCAGTCGGCGCAACCGGCATGTTCTAAGGCATAACATCTCTGATCACGCCTTCCTTCGGGAAGTAAAGCCGTTGGTCCCCGGTTGAGTTGATGGATCGATTGGTAGGGTCCAGATATGGGAGCTGCCTCCCTGGCGTCGGTAGCATTGGAACTCAGTACGGAAAACAAATCTCGCGTCACTTTTCAATAGGTCCTATCTACATTGATCGATTCTCTTCATCGACACTCTCTTTTGTAAATAACTCGGCTTCACAAATGTTTCCTGCCGTCTTCGTCGAATTAGATGCTAGATTGTTGCTTCTTCCATCGAAAATATCCGGCCGTGGCGATTCAAAGTTCATCAAGGTTGATCAAAATAATTTGTACCCCTGCTTCCAGTTCGATTACATGAGCATTTTGTGCGGTCGTTGGTTCTGAATATGGACAAACAGGCAGATGAATTCCATTCCTACTCTTTACTGTAATAACCTTGATGGCCCTGAAAAGAGCCGTTTTGTTGCCGAAGTTGGTGATGATTTAACTTCCGAAACCAAACAGAGTGCGTCCCTGTCACTTCAAAACGTAGATGGCATCCATGACCGCTTACGCTTGGCGTGTTTAGTGTAGGTGACAGCATCACGGATCTCATTTTTCAGGAACACCTTCAGCACACCTCGTAAATCAGACCGGAGATACGTCAGACACCGCCACGGCGAGCCAGACGACGGATGGTGGTTATCTTGAAGAATTTGCGTTGGTTCTGAATATGCCGATGAGTGTGCAAAATATTACGCAATTCCATCCTCCCTATTCACACGCGCCCGAGGATCGGAGGCGAATGCCACTTCGACTTGTTTCGTCTACTTACTACCAAGGTTGCAAAGACTCATTTTAGCTAAAATAATGTTTTTCGGAATAATAAAACCAAAAAGATGGTATGATGGCATGTTTTACTTGTAACTTACAAGAAGAGGTTACAAAGTATGCGTTGGAAACATAAAACTTGTAAATTTTGCTTTCTATGAGTCACAATCAGCGATTTGCTGATCGCTGAGTGAGTGAGTGAGTGAGTGAGTGAGTTTGTGAAAAATCGCTGATTGTGACTCTCATGAAGTGAAATAAACAGGTTTAATATGTCAAACACATTCTTTGCAACCTCTTCTTGTATCCTACCAATTCAAAATTTGATCATGGCATCTAATTATTTCATAATTTAGAAAAACATTGTTTTAGCTGAACTGAGTCTTTGCAACCTTGCTTACTACTCTCTGACGACTGTGCTGGGGAATCAACATATGCATGTAGGTAATTGGTGGATTTGCTAGTTAATTCAACGGTTTTGGACAATTCTGGACATTTACCAGTTTTTCAATAGTTTCTTGTTAAAAAAAAATCAACATTCGGAAGCATTATTATCGATGCGTAGCCATATTTCTGAACGATTGGTGATAAAACTATTGAAATTGGACCAGGGACAGCTGAGTTATTAACGTTCAAAATCTTTCTTAATTTGTTACATGTTCCATTTTCGGTTTTCACAAAGTGTACCCCCATATAGAAATCAAAGACGTAGTCCTACGTCAAAATATTCGTTTGAACTTTATGAAATCCGAGCCGTCCACTAGCAGACTCAATTAAGATTCTATTGACTTCCTGCAGAAATCTATTTAAATGTAAGTATCAACTCGTAATTAGTCACATTCAGTCAAATACCAGTCGAACATAATTTACTATCTGATTTTTTTTATTTTTTATTATTATGCATCTTTAAAACACAGCCGTGTGCCTACGTCACTTTTGCAAACAACGTCCTCCAAAACGTTTAGAACAAACAACAAACTCTCTCTAGTTTAGCAAACGAATGTTCGCAGTGAGTAGGAAAAAAGTAAAATACAAAACACATTTTCTCTCTATCTCCATCGCTCTCTTTTTTTCCCGAACCACCGACAAGAGTACGAGCAGATTCACGTTTGTTTTGTGGTGAAACCTATTGAACAAACAAATTCTCATGATTTTGGAAAATGTGTAGGTCGGTAGCTAGGTAGTCCGATGGCGTGGTGAAAAGCAGTTTTTCATCTCTCCAACAAACCAGCTTTCGTGACACACAGCTTCGTTGGGTAAACGCGAGAACAACACTGTGCGATACGGACGCGGATTATTCCTTTGTGTGCTCCGGGGGGGCTCCGAAAGACGATTCCCAGGATTCTTTTTCCCACGATCGAAAGTTGCATTCGGTTCGGTGTCCGCGAGTGAAAGTGATAGTTCCTGAAGGTTCCTTCGAGTGGATTAAAAGTGCAGAATCGGTTACGCTTGCGGAAGGTTCCAGCAATCGGAAACTTGACAGCTTTCACCGATCAGGTGAAAAATCAATTTTCTCACGAGCAAAAACACCCCGCTGCCGAGTGTGGCGCGGCAGGACGAAAAAGGGGAGAAAGCTCGATCAAAACAGAAGGTGGATATTCTACGCCGCCGCTGACATATGGAAGTGATGCTGTCTGTGGGAAAACGTCAAAACACGTTCCTCTACAGCATGGGTGCTGATGGGGTGGTTGGCGGTGCGCATGAGCACTCCTAGGGTGGTGGAAAAACGAAATTCACCACCCCGAGGAAACACATGGAGGCACAGCTCACTCGGTGGTGTCGAGAAGAGCCTTAAAACGGATAGCCATGCACGAAGTTGCTCTCAGTTTTTCGTAAACTACCAATCTGTCGCGTTCGCGAGTACGCTTCGGGGCTCCCGGTTCGTTCAAGACCTTTGCCATTTCCGAGGAAAAGAAAAGGAAAAATAGAAGTGTGCTCTGTTTGGTAGCGGAAGAAAAATAAACACTCTCCAACTGGAAAAGTTCTTTGCTCCAAGATTAACTTGGATCCAAACTCGTTTCCATATTTATGCAAATTGATACTAGCCAGAAGGAAGAAAATCCGTCCCCCGGTGAATGTGAAGAAAGTCAGCGAATAGGTAAAATATACTGAGTGGAAACTATCCCAAGGATTAAATCGGTTTTTCTTTGGTGGAGAATTCGCGTTGTACCCTTTCGCACACTCACATATCCCAAACTCGAGCAAGTTAGGAAATAAGGAGCAACCAAAACGACTGCCCGAGAGGAGTTCTTCTCGGTTGGAAGGCGCCAACCCCCTGCCACTAGACGTCGCCTGGCGGTCGTCGTCGTCGTCGTCGTGTAATCCTGTCGGTTGTTTTCTTCCCTTACGTTTCGCCAAGACATACATACATATATCATACACACTTAATGCATGTAATTTCACTCCTGCTGGGGAAAAGCTGAGTGAGGTACGCACTGAATTCATTCGTGAAAAAAATAGCAAATCCACCCAAATGGGATTGTCCGGTGAGTGCTTCAACAAGTTTGCAACCAATCGTGGAAACCGTGCAGTGGTGGTGAATTGAATGTGGGAAGTGAATGTAGAAAAAAAAAGTTCAACCAAAGCAAACAAAGAAGAGCAGTGCAGCGTCGTTTGTGAATAGCTCGTTGTCGTTATCGTCGTCGTCGTCTTCACGGGAATCAGCTGGAAAAAGGTTCACGATAATAAATCATTCAGAAAGCGTGAGTTTGTTTCGGTGTGCGTAAATGGACATGTTTCTTCCCTCACAAATGATGTGAATTACTCCGTTCATGAATTAGGAAATAGCGCTCGTCCAAAGGCTGTAAATAATTCAGCAAGGATCTGAGAAGGATGTTTTATAAAGTGGAAATGTGCTGCTTTTGAATGTTGAAGGATTTTTTGGTGGATTGATGGACAACCGCTGGAACGGATACTGCGCTGCAGTTAAGGTAGGTAGATGTAAATCTGGTTTGAAGATTTTGGTACAGTTCTAAACTGTGGACACAGTGAATAAAGTCTAAAATTGCAATAATTTATGCAAATCCGATAAATAATGCAATAATTTACACTAAGATGATTTAATCAGTTTAATAAATCTTCATTCCACCGGCATGATACCCTTGAAATAGTGGTTTTCAAACGTTTGTTGATTGTATTCTCTTTGATTAATTCCTTAATTCTATTCTACCTCCTTACGCGTACGCAATCGCCCATACGTATTTTTGAAAATTTGTATGGACTGTACACCCAACAAAGGATGTAAGATTTTCTTGCAATAATGAGGGTTTCATCATCGCAGGAGGTTAACCGGCGCCGGTGGTGTAGTGGTAAGCGTGACTGATTTCTCATCCCAATGGGTCTGGGTTCAATCCCAGCCGAGGTCGGTGGGATTTTTCTGAGGCATAACAATCTCTGGTCACGTCTTCCTTCGGAAGGGAAGTAAAGCCGTCGGTCCCGGTCCATGTGTGTTGAATGGGTGCGATATCCTACGCAGGTGTGGAAGCTGCCTTCCTGCACATTTGATTGCCGTCAATAGATTGCGGAACAGAGACCGATGTTAGTGGAGACCGCATGAATGGAGGATGAGCTGCAGCCCAGGAAATTGGAGTGTATTAGTGAGGAAAATGAATTATTTCGAAAAAAAAGTTTGCTGACTGCACTCGAACCACGAACGTTGCGATTATCAGACCTGTGCTTCATCCACTGCTCCCTCCATGCTTTGGATCATGGGTGGACTAAGAGCGAATAAAAAGCGCTCATAGTACGATAACTGGGTTTCGTCTGCTTTTCCAGCTGAGCGGGAAGTGGAGAGAATCGTGGCAAATGTGTGCGTCATTCTAGTTACTATGTTATAAATAAAAAGCTTGCATCGTTTGCAAGGTCAGCTTATATCATTCGTTGTGGAGGATGACAGGAAATGAAACTAACATTAAATGTAATACATTTTTGGTTTGCGTGTAGACACTCGCCTCCCCTCTCCTCCTCTATGGTGTAGAGAGGGTCTACTATAAGAGAGAAGCGGACAGGCTGGTTTTTAGTCAAACTAAATGTCAAAGCCAGAGCCAATCCAGCAGCTCTTATCTTGATTGCATTGGCAGTGTTGCTAGAAACCTCCTAGGCATAAGTTGCCAAGGCAGTTTGTTTTGAATCCGCTCATCTCTTATACTGGACCCTGTCTACATAGTTTAAGAACAGCCCCTAATATCTCTTAAAATCCCCTAATTATAGTGTATTGTCTAGTTCAGAATTCTCTCACTAGGTGGGTCCAGTGCTCCTGTGAACATACTGTCCATACAATATCTCTGGATCCTGACTATATACAAGGATGCTGTTTTCTGTAATGTTGTTTGAACTGTGGATAATTTAGTGCGAAATAAGATCACTAGGGTGTTCTAGTGTACTGGTAAACTACTTAAACAAACAGGACCGAAATCTCTAGATCCTTGCTATATACAGGGAATACTCAAAATAACTAGGTAAGGCAAATTTTTGGTCACCTTTGGAGTGTTTTTTTTTTCCTTTGGTTTGTTTTTTCCGTCGATCTTGTTTTCCGTGCTGAGCACCAATGCTACCGACGGGCCAGGAAGGCAGCTCCCACGAAAAAAAAATGGTCACCGGTTACCGGAGATATTCTGAGTTTTCGGAGGACTTGTATAACTTGCTAAATTTGTGATTTGTTTTTCTATAGGATGCCGAGTAAAAATCGATATTTTTAGTAAATACACACCAAGAACTAATATCGGCCTATAGCCAACCGAGATATGGCCATTTCCCGGGAATCGGTTTGGATAGAGTTTTCTGAATGCGGTCAGATCTTTTAATCATAATCACTCAAAACATGTCATGCGACAGCTCTTTCTTCATGGTTTAATCAATAGACTTTCGATACACTTTAAATGCTTCGTTGACCACATTGGCCGCTCTCAGAACCTCCGGGATGTCTCCGGAGGAACCTCTAGCAGGGGACAATTGCATTTTACACCAAATATGCCGTGCGACAGCTCATTCTACATGGTTTTTCATGAATAGGCTTTCTATAAACATTAAGTGGAGCCACGGAATACCCACGGGGACACATGCAGCAGGAGAAATTGTGGTTTTACACCAAAGTAAACCATACGACAGCTCATACTTCATAGTATTTCATGAATAGGCTTTCGATAGGCTTTAAATGGAATGTTGACCACATTGGCCGCTCTCCACACCACAGGGATGCCCCGGGGGAACATGTAGCAGGAGATAATTGCAATGTAACAGCAAAACAATCGAATGGATAATTGACCACATTGGCCGCGAACCCCCGGGATGCCCCTGAGGGGACCTGTAGCAGGGTAATATTGAGTTTTCACACCAAATCATGCCGTACGACAGTCCTTTTTTCGTGCTTTTACATCAGTAGGCTTTCGATAAATTTGAAGGATATTGACAACATTATTTTTTTTCCCTTGTTTTGTTTCCCGTCGATCTTGTTTTCCGTGCTGAGCACCAATGATACCGACACCAGGGAGGCAGCTCCCACACCTGGACACTACCTATCGACCCATCAACTCATGCACCGGGGACCGACGGCTTTACTTCCCCGAAGGAAGGCGTGATTAGAGATGTTATGCCTCAGAACATCCTGGCGGCGCCGACTGGGATTGAACATAGGCCTGCTGGGGTGAGAGGTAATCACGCTCACAACTACACCACCGCCCCGCTATTGACCACATTGGCCGCTCTCAGAACCACGGGATGCCCCCGGAAGAAAACTTGTAGTAGTGGACAATTTCGTTTAAAGCTTGAGTCATTTAATATCTGGACGCGAAAAAACGGATGTATCTCGGAAACCATCTTAATGAAATTTAAATGTTGGGCACTTAAAGTAAAGGTCATTTATTGCTCTTTAACGGAAAAAGAGCAAAAAAATGTTTCGATTTGGTTTTGATGAAATCCCAAACTTTTCTTCGAATACCACTCATCATATTTTAGACACTCTGTTGGCTAACATGAGCGGCCGTTTTGTTTCACCATCTCTTCATCTCTGTCGCATCCCGACTCACCTTTCCACTCTTCTTCAACTTCTGTTTGATAATTGCCCAATATTTCACAATCGGACGGAATTGAGGGCAGTTGGGTGGATTGATATCCTTTTCGAAGAAATAAACCCAGTTGTCTCGATCAGTGCGCAAAACAGTCAGGTTCATTGAGTCATTTTCATATGAACTGCCATCTGCCTCATCATTCACTGCCTCGTGAGAGTCTGAATGATTGAGAGGTAAACGAGTCACTGACAGCCGGGCACTCAGTCAGTAGCTCAGTCAACACGTTTATTCTGCCGTGATGGTACCCAATATTTGTTTTGAATGCCTGAGCGTACATTTTCTATGGAAAAATGACTCAATTACATGCTGTTGAGCGAAGGCAAGCGGTGTGCGTCGCCTGCTCGTGAGTGACTGAATGTGTTTGTTGGCTCTTTCATTGCCTCGTCTTTTGCCGTTTGGTACAAACGGTCTGCACAGAGCAATGGATTGAATAGTGCAGTGCTTTCACACTCAGCCTAGGCAGTCAATAATTTTACACTCTGGTCTCGATACCACTGTAGAACTTCTCTACTGTAGTGGAAGCTTGCCAAATCAGGCCAAAACTTCACAGGTTCATTGTGTACGAAAGAATACGTTTTTCAGGCCTTGTACATTTTGGAATCCAGTCTTGTTTGTCACGAAAACCTGGGTTTTGTTGTCCACAACTGCAAATACCTTACCAGATCATAAGCTTTCTTGCAAATTTATCGGCAAAACCAAATTTGAAATTGCTAAAGTCAGCACCTCGACTTTTGTCCGGGAAGCTGCCCATAATTCATCTTCACGTACGTATCGTCGTCCATGAGGATACATCCTTCGTACTTTGTAACGTACGTAACCTCATTGCACAACTTCCGGGCACGTCTTTTTGCCACTAGATTCTGCTGCAGTGTCCTGTTTGGTTGCTTACCGGCTCGAAAAGATCGAAATCCTTCTCGCTGACGAATCCTTCTGGCGGTGCGTTGTTGACTGGCATTGAATTTATTGGCGATATCATTATCCGACAGCCCTGAGTTTGCCCAAACCGTTCGCAACACCTTCATTTGCAGCTTCCGATCCTTAGTTCCACTACGATGCTTGCTATGATCCTGCCGATCGATTTTTGAACCTGACCACGTCGGATTTTCCAAGTGGGTGTTCGAAATTAATTTTCCGTTCGTGGCTTTGATTGAGTAGGTGAAATGGCTCTAATGTTGGCTAATGGATGGGACGGTACTAATGAATGTTTTTGGTAGCTATTGAAAATTTAGTCGATTGCTGAATTTATGTATGGGCCCAATTTAGGGGCATTTAGGTCGACATTACATCTATTTCCCCATATAACTTCTTTTAAACATAATGAATCGTGGCGAACTTTTCAGCACTAAAAGAGGAAACATTTCAAAACAAACTGCTGTCAAAACATTCCAGACCCGACTACTAGATGTACTGCAGTAAAATAAACAGTGGATCCGGATATGAAATGACTCAAGCTTCATACACTAGAACATGCCGTGCGACAGCTCTTTATTCATGATTTTTCACTAATTTAATCGTATAGCCACCGGGATACCGGCGGAGGAACCTATAGTAAGAGTTAATTAATTACAAATTCATGAAAATCCATAAAGAAAGAGCTGTCGCACGGCATGTTTTGGTGAAAAATGCATTTTTGTGAGTCAAAACCACTCTGTAATATTTTCAGCCGAGAAGTTTTTTTTTTTTATTTGTTTTGATAAAAAATGGAAATAACCAGCTCCAGATTCATTTAACTGGAGCTGAAGACAACTGAAAACCTCCTCCGTATGCAATTCCTACTTACCTTACCTTACATTAATACACATCGGTGTTAAACAATAATTTCGCCGTTTCTTAGAGCGTTTGCTCCGAAACGGTTGACATGTTTT